CTTAGCATCCGGAGGCTGAGGCATGAAACTCACCTTGGAGGCCAGCCTGACCTGCAGTGTGTGAGTATGTCTCAACCACGCCCCCTCCCTCCCCAAAAAAGCCCTCTAGAGCTGGAGCCAACCCTGAGGTTAGAGCATTTCCTGCTCTTGCAGAGGACCAGTGGGGTTCCCAGCACCCTGTCAGACAGCTCACAACCACCTGTACCTCCAGATTCAGGGGATCCCACTCCCTCTTCCCGTCTCGAGGGAGTCAATAGATTGCAAGTATGAGCCACCCTGCCTGGCCTTCAAGTGTATTTTGTCTCCAGAATTCCAGCAGCAGTTTAATCTCCAGAGTTCTATGTTAGTGGTTAAGAGAGTGGAGACTTAATCAGACAGTGAAGACTTTAGATCCTAAGATCACTGTGATGGAGCCCAAGGGCTGAATCCCAGTGGGTTTTAGACAGAGAAGAACCACAGGGGACTCTACCAGCAAGAATGCCATCAAAAGAGCCAAGCAGATACAGATGCTGCCCAGACTCTCAGCTAAATAAACCTCTTTTTTTGTTTTGTTTTGGTTTTGTTTCTTTGTGGCTTTGGAGCCTATCCTGGAACTCGCTCTGTAGACCAGGCTGGTCTCAAACTCACAGAGATCCGCCTGCCTCTGTCTCCCGAGTGCCACCGCCTGGCATAAACCTCTTTACTTTATATACCCAGTCTGCCTCAACTATTTGGTTACAGTGATAAAAATACAATTAATACAAATGTGGATGTCTTTGAAGGCCTTGTGACCTTGCTTACTGTTGTGTGGCAAACTAGGAAAATGAGCTAGCTGTATACTAGAAAGGAATAAGATAAACGAACTGGAGGTTCCTTCCTGCCCCATCATCCATGGCTTCCCTGAAAACACAGATAACATACTTTGCCATGGGAGCCAGAGGAAGAGAGCACTTGGAGCCAGGCACTGTGGTGCGTGTCTAAAATCCTAGCACCTGAAAGACCTCTGTCAGCTGGAAGCCAACCTAGTCTACATATCCAGGTCATCCAGGGCTCTATGATGAGACCCAGTCTCAAAGACAGACAGACAGGCAGAGAGGGAGGGACAGGCAAACACCAGATTAAGTACAGCTGCCAGAGTGTTGGCTGAGCAACAGGTTGACAACCTGTAGGTACAATGTGGCTTTGTGGGGTGCTTGCCTGGGGTGCTGCCTATGTGTCCTGGCCTGGCCGACCTGGGGAGGCACTGGCATTTTTATTTTTAATGGTCTCCAGAGAAAGTCACTTCCCCAGGTCTATTTATAGTCTTGAGAGTGGCACATCAGCTCCAGCTTGTGGCAGCCAGGCTGGTGACCTCCAAACATTCAAGATGCTCTCCTGAAAGGAAACAGTGCGAGCATTTTCCTGTGTGTCTGAGAGAGAGAGAGAGACAGAGTGAGAGAGAGAGAGAGAGAGAGAGAGTGTGCGTGTGCGCATACACACACATTAATCATAATTACTGGTTATGTATTTTGCTAGCATAATATATGGTTATATTGTATTTTAAAAAACCAATTAGAAAGGGTAGCATTAACTTTTTTGTTTTTCCAGACAGGGTTTCTCTGTGTGGCCCTGTCTCCTGGAACTCTGTAGACCAGGCTGGTCTCAAACTCACAGAGATACGCCTGTCTCTGCCTCCCGAGTGCTGGGATTAAAGGTGTGCGCCACCACTGCCCAGCCCAGTGTTTTCTTCTTTCACATAAAAATGTTTCCCTTCAGTTATGGTGACTGACATCTATGATTCCAACCCTCAGAAGGCTTGAGGCAGGAGGATTGCTCATAGTTCAAGGCCAACCTGGGCCAAAAAGTGATACCCTGCCTCAAAAAAACAAAGCAGGCTGTCACTGTGTGTCCCCGAGCAAATATGACCTGGCATTTGGATGCCCCACTCAACTCTGAATGTGTGCCTGGGTGGTCCACTCACTCCTTCAATCCCAGCTACTCAAGAGGTTGGAGCTGGAGGATTGTGAGTTCAGGGCCAAGCTTGGCTAGTGGGCCTGTCTGAAAACAGTTTTTAACCATCCGGGTCTAGGTGCGGTGGCACACCTGACGTCTGAGTAGTGGAGGCAGGAGAATCAAGAGTTTAAGGTCCTCAGCTACTTTAGAACTCTGAGGTCAGCCCGGGCTACAAGAGACTGTCTCAGAACAACAGAGGTGGGACACAGCCGAGAGCCTAACCTGCCCGAATGCCCGGCTCCCACCTCCATTGCTACAAAAATAACCAGCAACCCCTTCTACTGGTTTGTAAGGGCTGCTTGAATCTCCTTGCCCTGGCTGCTAACAGTACTCGGCACGGACAGGAGAGGGCGCCCGAGTCAGTCCCTCGG